TCCTTACCTAAATCATATGGCATAGCCCCAGTATAAGTATATATATATTAATATTATTCTTTGTATAACTCATACACATATAATATTATAGATTTGGTTTTGGTCGTTTTACAACTGTGGATGAAGTTGAATATACCGCTGMAAAATGTATAAAGCATGTTCAACGACTACGAGAAATGAGGTTAGTTTTTCAAATAAATATACTAAATTAATAAACTATAAATACACTTAATCATAATTTACACTTAATTTTAGTCCATTATGGGAAATGCATCAAGAAGGAATTGACATCAAATCTATCAAGTGGTCTCAACATTAAAGTTCAACTAATCACATCTCATTAGTGATTTTGGATTAAGTATGTGGTATGCCTGTGATTAATAAATATAGATTTATACATTGTAGATGTTTGACTCAATCAGAAAATAATTCTAGGGCAGTGCAATTTAATGTATCTATGTTAAATAAATATAATTATAACTATGTTCAAACAATTTCTTTATTTAAAAAAAAAATAAATCAATTGAGTTTTATCATAATTCAATATTCAATACCTATGAAATATTATAAAATATTAATTAATAATATCTAATAATTCTATCTTCTGTCTTCGATTTATTTCTTCATCACAATTCATTTAAAGTACTAGATCTCCTGCATTTAATATATGTTTTTATTTTACAATATGGGACAAACTCTTTAATAACATGAATAAAAACAGTAATAATTTGCTTTATGAAAACGAGGCTCAATTTTAAAGAGAGAATGAAGGGTCAATATTGGAAATGCGCATAAGATGGATGATGGGTGAATTAAGATTGTAGTTTGAAGAAGATAAAGGTATATGGAATGGAACAGAAGATCGTCTTCGGCGGGAGGGGACATTAAATGAAGTATGMGATTGTAATTCAAGACTGTCAATTTCGAAGGAAAGAAGATTAGATAGAAATGATAAGCTGCTGAGTATCAGCAAGACTTTAAATGTTTYGACATTTATATAGCGTCATAATTGTGTATGAACCTTAGTTTTTAATAAGAATTATAGATATATTTGTGATTTTATTTATATTAATATGAATTTTGATATTTGTAGTACAACTATAACTTTTTTTTAAAACATATATTATTTATAGATAATCAAAATTTAAGTGAGTTTCTATATTTATCATTTTTCGTTTAGATTCACATAAATCATAGACCTATCACTTTTTCTTTACAATTGTCATTACTTTAAACTTGATGTACATTGTACAATGATAATAATTCATTATATTTTTTATTCATCAACTAAGATACTTTTATATTATATTCAAACTTTTAAAAGATTTGGTGTAATTTCATCAGCTATATGTTTACGACGTGGTTTCATAACATTCAAAACGTTGACCAATGTTGCTAGACGACCACTCAGTACATTTTCTGGTTCTTCATCTAGCTTTTCCACAGAAGAATCTAAACATTTGTTGAATAAAATTATGTGAAAGACAACAATACTAATTTAACACTCATACCAAAATCTGATGATTTTGAAGATTTTTTTAAACTTGGCGAGATAGTTTTAGTTGATGATAGTACTTCATCAGACTCTTCTACTGTTTTACTGCTAGGAATTTCAAGTTCTGACTGAAGTCGTTTTAGTGCTATGTAATTTTATTACAAAATTAATATATATATAYATAACATTAATTACAGTTAATACCTTTTAACAGGTCCATGTTGTCCATTTCGGTATCACTCAATAGTCGTAATTGTTTGCAAAATTTTGTAGCAATCTTACGACGTACAAAATCAGCTTCTATTTCTTGTTTAGTCCTGGGAATTCGAAATCTTACACAACAGCACATAAACACCACTACAAAATATTTTATTGTTTTAAAAAAAATTTAATTTTACATACAATTGTGAAATTTACCTAGTGTGAAGAAGACGGTCATGATGAAAAAAATGATGTGCCATACACGATAACCATTGTATACCGTTGCCTCAAACCATTCCTC